TTCCTGAGATTTTCGACCCAGATGGAATAATCCATGAGGTTCGGACCATGGGAGGCCAAACGTCTCGGGAAGCAGCTCTTCACAAGCGGCAGTTCGTGGGTTTGGCAGGATGTGCTGGCTCCCAGTCTTGCTGAAGCACGTGTCCATCCGGGCCGAAGTGCTACGACACCCATGGCTTCAGTACATCGCGGAGAACGCGTTGTTGGGAGTAGACAGCATTAATCTTTACGATGCGCTCGATGAAGAAATGAGAGGTCTTTCCGGTGGCACAGATCCCGCCTCAGACCGTGACTGAGGCTGGAAAGAGTCTGCGTCCGACGGATTTCACAGCCGTTGCCTTCTGTTGACCTTTTCTGAGGAGCAGACAACAATTCCGGTAGTTGTGATCGAAAATTTTTCTCGTCGGTGGCGAGCACATTCTTCAAGCAACAAGCACCGACCAGAAGATGGGTTTCAACAACTGCAACTTTTTGATTTTTTCGAGACAGTGCGAGGAGAAATCGAAAGTGATTGGATAGATGACTCGTACGGTAGTTCGAAATGGCTTGCGGAATACAAATAACCCATCGGAGAGAAAACAGACCATAATGGCCATTCAAAAACGCACAAACACGAAATTGCCAGAACTTTTTGGTCACCCTGTATAGTACGCTCGAAATCCCTGAGAGGGGGGTAGGCGTGGCTGCGTACTTCAACTAAACGTGGCGGTGGCTGTGCTTTTGGTGAGATATTTTCATTTTGACACAATTGTGTTCATGTCTCTGTCCAACAACGAACAAGATGACAGTTGCCTCAGACTGAAATTTCCCACGAGCAACCCATTCTATGCCATGTTCGAATGCTACTCCATCTCGGGGATAAAATGTGTACCCATCATCTCTGCAAGCGAGAGGGTGTGTGAAGGGGCGTAGGCCGGTACGGAGCCAGGGCAGTCTTTCCCTTCAGTTGTCGCGAGCTCAGGATGGCATCAGCCAGTTGGAAATGCTGCCCTATCTGCGCTCAAATCCACGCTCCCTCTCACACCTTATAAGCAAGGGTAGTCACTATCGCTGGTGACAGATACGTCATCGTGCGTAAGGAAGCAGAGTGTTTAATAGCTAGTTGACTTGACATACTGCATCACCGCCACTTGAATTTGTCCGGCCCTGGTGTGAATGCCGCTCACACTTCACCACTTGCAGTAACGACCCCGCCCCTAATATAATCTCCCCGGCTCGACCCTCCCCTTCAACATCCCCATCCTACCCAATGTCTTCCGGAATTTCTTCCAAAATTCCCCCTACTCTTAATTCCTACCTCCGCTCGGCAATAGGGAGAATTCGGAAGAAATTTCGGAAGTGTGATTGGAAAATGAGAAAAGATAGGGGGTAGGATGGGGATGTTGACGGAGGGGTCGTACCAAAGAGAAAATTCGAGGGAGTCGTTTTTGCAAATGGTGCTGTGTGAGCACTCATCCTAGGGACAGACAAATTTTAGGAGGCAGTAATGCAGCATATAAAGTGAATCGGAACCCTTTCTTAAAGGCAAATATGGCCTGCCTCCCTCCAGCAGCCCAGTATGACCGGAGATACCGAACGCACGACGTGCCCCTGCATAACACCTCAGGAGATTAGGTACATCAGAGATAATTTGAAGGACAGATATCTCTGGAAACTTGGTGACCTGAACTTCACAAGACATCTGATTCACCATCCTGCAGTTAAATAAAACAAGAAAAAGCAGAGAAACTCACCGCTAATGCTCTAGTGCCGGCCTCAATTTTCGACACGTTGGGTGGAGAAGTGATCGATGGAGGTTCGAACTTTCGGAAAGCAACGAAAGGGTTCGAGGAGTCCTCAACATTTAGCTCAGGGCCCTGAATGGGGGACTCGATCGGAAGAAAAGCCATCTCTTCGAGTTTCTCCAAAAACTCCTGTCGTTTATTGCCAGAGAAATAGGCAGCTCGAAAACGTGGATCCACCAAAGTAGCAAGATAGAGCTCGTCCTGATCTTCGCAGCCAACCATCTGCTCTTCAAGGGCTGCACAAATTGTTTCCCTGACATTTTTCAGACAAGAGGTCTCTTCTCTCAGCTGACGCACAATCACTTTATAAAGTGGAATGACCACAGAAATCGGCGTGAAATAGCGATGTTTCACTAGTCCGATGGCAAAATCGATGGGCTTCAACACCTCGACGATTTCACGAATTCGCTCCCATTGAGAACTATCAAATTTTGACCCATCCGAATTTGCTTCGACCAGAACGAAAGCCAGACTGTTCTTCTGCTCCAGCAGACGACACAACATCATATAGAGACAGTTCCAGCACATCCCGTCTCTCTGAAATCTTGTCATTTAGATGGCAAGGAATTTTCAGTTGAATATGGAGCATTTAATCAAGTCTGGTACTTTCAACTGAACTCCTGATAACTCTCGTAAAGGAAGTGAATATCGAAAATACCCAATCATCACCCGATAGAGCCGCAAAAAGCAGCATGCAAGAGTGAAATCTTCCGGGGCAACAACATTTATTGGGACGGAAATAGGTACTCGTTGGCTGAAGCCGTCGCGACACGTGAAAAGGAGAATCAGCGGGCAGCGCAAAGGAAGAACTGCAACAAGTTCTCACCAAACCCAGCTCCTCTGCCCGCGCAATGAACCCATAAGCTTTACCATTTACTTGTGCGTACTTAGTCGAATGTGCACCCTTACTTTGTAGTCGTGGCATCGCAATACGAGTTGGCATGGGAGCAAATGTGCGCGGCGCCGCTGCTATGCTGAGCTGGTTGGGTTCTGATGCAAATGCTACTACATGTGTTACTCTTCAGTGTTGATGTGTTACCCGTCACGTGTTACCCCTCTTGCAAAGTGTAGTTCGTAGCAACTGGGGACTAACGCGTTCTCATTCGTTTTGAATCTTTGCCAAATATGCCTTCGTTCTTCATTCCGATTTTATGAGTTTATCCCAAAAGTTCGCGGATATTTTTCGAATCTCGTATCAGATTATCAGATTTTCCGTAGCCATTTCGAGATCCAGTTATGTGGTCTATGGGAAGTGTGTTAGGTAAGCATTCCACAGCTTCTTCACCGTCCCTCGCAGTCGCTGTTCTCATATGAAAACGGTAATTGAAATTCATCATTTTCGACACACTTCGCTATATGAATCTCTACCAAGCCACAACGTGGTTGGAGCCATAAGCGGCATTTCCCTTATTTAGATCTTGATGTTACCTTCCACAGTACGGCTTGAAATGGCCCAATTGCTTCCGCTTTAGTGACTTCTATCTGGGAGAAAAACTTCGTCCAAGGAGGCCACCTGCCTTGGATTTGGACCTACTGTGTTCCTTGATTAAAACCAATTCGTACAAATCAAAGTTGCTATCTAGTCCTTACACTTGACTGGTCCCAATGGGCACAAATGAGAGAGGGCCTCGCTTCCTTAGAAAAGTTTTGAAGTCTACAATTTTTCTCCCGCTTCCGCCGCGACTGGTTGAACAGCGCTGTAACTGGATATGGAGTGGGTGCCTCTAGGTGAATCACTCCCGGGAGCGCCAGCGGCTAGATCCCCCAGAAAGGGCAGAACCGATCGCAATCCTATCAATCCAGTAGGGCGGTGAGACTGTGTATGTGGTGGGGTTTCTTTCTCCCTTCCCAAAACGGAATTTCTTCCTTCCAACGCTGTGGTAACCAGGGAACCCTATTGTAATCAACTGCAGAGGGGGGTTGAAAATCTCTACCATTTGGTCCCAAAACCGAGCAATGTTTGCCTACTCCACCACAGCTCAGGGTCACACATTTGGAAAACGACACTGCTCGAGATCCCGAAGCTTAGCTGGGGAATTCCACCAGTCTTCGTGTAGCCCTGACTTAGCTCTTTCCGATCGCCATCTAAACTAATCCCACAGCGGCCATCTTCTGGGTAAAAAATACGATTTTTGATAGTACCTCAAAAATGACCCAGCTGCCTTTCTGGGCACAGAACCAAGAGGCTTCTGGAAGCAGGGCAACCACACATTGCGTAGTGATTGGCAACAAGTTGCCAATGAAGGTGACATATATTGATCAAAATTGCTTCCCACTGGAATAAACTTAACTCGAAAAAAATGTGCGAAAGTTCTACGAACTTTTGGGACAACCTAATATAACATCATTTGCATTTAGTGACCTTTGCTTGGTATTGCACACCACCCTGACTCAATTGAGTGTGAAAGTGGCTCACATCGTGTTCTGTTCAGACTTGGCGATGACGCGCATCAACTAGCTACAGTTACAAAACCGTTCCAGAGCTGTAGACACGAAGCAGCCGCAGACCGCGAGTGCCTATCAATAACAGTCTGAGTGACCAGGCAACACCTATCAGCCCATTTTTTCCATCCCCTCTCAAAATACGAACGACTGACGCCCACCGATTAAACGTTCGCAAACGGGATTAGGTTGCCGACCCGTGCGCATGCTTTCGCGTCAATAGATTTGGAGCGCTGTTGTAACTTGTAGCGAGTCGACGCGCGTTACAGCGCTTCGATGCACGTCATTGCGAAGTCTGAACGCTGCCTCAGGAATAGTGGATGTCACAAGAAACATTTAATCAGGTTTCTATTTGCCTACCGACATTCCATCAGATGGTCCACATAAACGACTACAGCTCCTGACATTCTTCCCTGCTTCTCCTTTCCACAATGTTGGTGCGATCTGCTTGATTCGTGCCAAGAGGGAGTCATTTTCATTCAAAACTAATTGCACTCCTTTATCCACGGCCTGAAATAGGATCTGATAAAGCGGAAAATCACCAATATGTCCTTGATGACACTTGCAATGTGAAGAACTTTCCAGGGGCTTCAACCTTAGTTACAACTTCAACTCCTGCATGTGAGCAGCTTATGAATTTCTGCAATTTGACGCTTGGCTTCATTTGATAACGCGATATTTCAGAGGTTGTGTTTCACAATCACAGAAAAGAAATCCCCGAGGGGGGATGAACTTTGAAGGAAGAACCCGCGATTACTCGCCATCTCAGATGGTGGATTAGGGGGTTCCATATAGACGACAAGGGGTTGAGTAACTCGACTGTGAACAAAAAAGCACAAAAAACATGCCACCTGCCCTAGATAGAACCCCATTTCGATCCCAGTTTGTACGTGCCCAATCAACTCTATCTCCAAAACTACGCCCTCATATGCACGGCTGATTCACCGATAAGATTTCTACGATCGTACAAGTGGCGATTATCATGCTTTTTCGTCCTGCAATCTCATTTTTCACTGGAAGTCGGTCATTAGGGGCGGAGTCTGGAGGCGGAGTCACTGGAAAAAAGGAGGAGCCACTGAACCTATATTGCGCTACAGCGCCCCTCCCATAGAATTTTTTGCCGCGAAACCGGTACAAGGTTGTTCGTCGCGGACCACTCTAACCTCCTGACGCCATATTTTCAACTTCGATACCTGATCGCGGACCGTGCCTTTAATATCAAAAGTCTCAAGTTATCACCGCTTCCGAACCAACATTCAGGGTTCCGTAACACCATTACACTGAGAGATGCATTTTGCTAAAATTTAGTCATGATTTCGAGTGAATCACTCGTCACCCAACTAAATGTACAACAAAAAGCGTTCGTGTTGACTGAATTGTGGAAAATCCGCGATCCTTAGTCAATCGCAGACTTGTTCGCTGAGGACGCAGCGGGGTGGGGAGGCGTTTCAGAGGGGCTGGGACGGCGTGGGGCCAACCTGTTCTCCATCAACTGTGGTTGCGTGCCAAATTTCACCATTGATAGGAACAGATTGGAGCCACGTTAAAATCACTCCTCCTCCATCCCCTCTCCCCAACCCTGAAATGACCAGTGTTCGCACCGATCAAGACTATCTAAACCGCTGTCACCTATTCCCTTCAATTGCGGATTATAACTTTCGCAAAGTATGGAAGTGACCAAGGAAGTTCAAGAAAGGTCGCTCCAGGAAAGGGAAGACGAAATCATTGTCATTTAAGGAGTGAAAAAAAACTCCTTGAGTTGTTTGCATCTAAAAGTTTAGAGCCCCCACTATTTTGCATAGACAACTGCGTGTTTTGGATAATGAACTGACTAAAGCCATATAGAGTTCGCCATGTAGGCACCCTACAAGTTTGAGAAAAAGAGAAAAATCAAACCTTTTGGAGTTTCTGAGAAAAGTCGCTCATATGCTTGACGTAGTTCGAGATGGCTGCAGTAGGTACCGGCCAGTGCTCGACAAGAATGTGAACTTTCTCCTGGTTTATTACGTATGAATTCAGAGCTTTTGCCAAAAGCGCTCTCGTCTCGTCGGGCGTGGGCAAACCATGGATCAGATTTGATGACACGGTCGCAAAACGAGGAACCATCCTTTCATCAATGAAGTGAATCGTGAATGTGACTAGCGAGTCCTGCCCGTTTGGCAACACCCTCACATCTGTGGAAAAGCTCACAAACAATGCTGAGTTCAGCATCGTTTTTATCTTTGTCACGTATTCATCATACAGTGCACTCAACGAATTTTCAGTGAAGTGGACTCGAGGCTTCAGATGGAATCGCGGAGAGATCACGCTGATGAGGTTGCGGAATCCAAGACTTTCGACGAAAGAAGAGGGCAAAGCGGCAGTACAGAGCAACTGGGTAATGGCCTTCTCGATATTATCCATGCGATCACGATGTGGTGGTTCCCATATAGTCGCTTCCGACACTGATGCGAACGAAGTGCCAGGCTTGCAGTTTGGTCGTTTCGGTTGCGAAGGCTCAGGACCGGCTTCGGGTTCCGACTTCCAAATTCGTTTCAGACCTTGCGCCAAAGCCATAGCTCGTTCGGCTGCCGTTGCCCGCTCATACTTGGTTTGATCTTCGCGATCTTTGAAACAGCTGTAGAGGTCTGGGTGTTTCTTTCGCAAATGATGGCGTAGCGATGATGTCGTACAGTCCTTCGGTTTCGGTATCGCCCAACTACAGGTGTTGCATATCAGCATATTTTCGTGCACCAGGAAATACTCACTGTATTTTCCCATCTGAAACAAGCATTTATGAAAACACATGGTATTAACACTTCGCCACGCCATCCAACGCAGAAAATGAAAAATTCCATTCATATATGATTTGGTGCAAGAGAGAATATAAAAAGCACTGCGAATTGTTCGTAACAGAAGGGTCAGAACAACGAAACCAAATGTTTGCAAAAGTAAGGTAAGACACACACATACGGCATTTCCTCATGTGATGAAATATTTTAATATCCTTATTAATAAGTACTCACAGATTACGCGGTAATGTTAGCTATTACATCAGCTCAGCATAGCAGAAACCATAAAGAAAATGGTTCAAAATTGAGCTAGAACATCTGAACTTGAAGATCGAAGGAACCTTCCGAGATTACAGGTCGTGGGTCGCAAGACAAGCTTCGGAAAAGAAGTGAAGAGCGTCGAGACAGCGTATGTGGCGAAATGCCAGGTACAAATGGATGAGCGAGACGACTCGGACTCACAGAGATATGAAAGGAACGCCCTGAAGGCGGAGTCCCTGCTGATGGGAGAAGTTGCTGTGATTTATAAAGGTTTAAGCGACCATATCGCTCAAGTCGTGAAACGAGCCGTGAAAATGTTGAGACCGTGTCCATCCCTTGTGAGGCTGGAAAGCAGAAGAATTGGCGAGTCGCGGATTCGGAAGAATCGAAGAAACCGCGAAGAGGATTGTACGAATCGATGTGGAGAATTGAAAGACCGGAGTCGTGGAACTGGAACAATCGGAGGATGCATGTAAAGGACAATATATGTATGGTCGACCAGTATATTCTAGAAGTCGCTGATTCTCCATTCTTCATTTCTCCACATCGATAAGTATGCACTTCTTTTCGCGGTATTTCGGATTCTCCCAGATCAGCAATTCGTCGGCTGTTCGACTTCTACAGTTTCAACTCCCTGACACTATCGAAACTGTTGACGGGATGCCTTGCAAAAGGACGAAATTGTAGCTGCCAAGTTATCACGGAATGCACGATAAGACGTCAGATGCCATGGGATCGCCTTAGTAAGCACCGTCCCTTTTGAGAACCTTTTTGGAGAATATTTAACTTTTGTTTTCTTTTATGCTGTGCATTTTGTGATCGCATCAAGTCCCAACATATGTTAGATAAAAGCTGAGGCTTTGCGACACAACACGGAAATAGCGTTGCTTTGTAGTGACAGAGATGAAGCAAGCTCAAAAGATACACGTGATATACAATCCCATCCTACTATATATAATTCACTAAGTATGTCTGTCAGTGTGTGTGTGTGTGTGTGTGCGTCCGTCCGTCTGTCTGTCACGAAATTCATAGCACGCGTCGCAGTAAGCGTGGCATGTTGGTTCCAAGAAGTGATATAGGGGATGGGACGGGAACATTATTGGCGGGTGACAGAAAGTGATAACAGTTGATAAGATCCGATAAGGGGTCTCGGAAGGGGAGGATCACCAAATTCGTAACGCAGGTTCCGGCAACAGTGGGACCTTGGATCCGAGAGGTGATATAGGGTGTGGGACGGGAACATTATTGGCGGGTGACAGAAAGTGATAACAGTTGATAAGATCCGATAAGGGGCCTCGGAAGGAGAGGGTCATCAAATTCGTAACGCAGGTTACAGCAACAGCGGGACCTTGGATCCGAGAGGTGATATAGGGTGTGGGACGGGAACATTATTGGCGGGTGACAGAAAGTGATAACAGTTGATAAGATCCGATAAGGGGTCTCGGAAGAGGAGATCACCAAATTCGTAACGCAGGTTACAGCAACGGTGGGAGCGTGATTTCGAGAAGTGATTTAGGATGATAGCGCTAAGCTAGCTCTATTCCGAATGCATGGGGTTTGTTTACAGAGATGTTATGAACAGCAGCAACTTGACTCAATCACTCTTATCAGAACTATCTTCCATCAACAACCTCAGTGAGGGCCATTCGAAGCGTTTCACTGCTGAATGCGGGAGTGCATTAAAGCAAGACGCTTTAAGAGGGGGGGAGGGGGGGGGAACTGCATGAATCAGTACGATGCTTCAGCGGCTGATCTAACAGGCTGCTCTATTCCCGTCTATGTAGGTTATGAACGTACCAGATTAGTAGCGCAGGTTGCAGCGACCGTGGGACCTTGATTTCAAGAGGTGATATACACGGCAGGACGGGAACACTTTTGGTGGGTGACAGGAGGTGATAACACTGATAAGATTCGATAAGGGGCCTTAGAAGGGGAGGGTGACCGAATTCGTGGCAAGTTGCAGCAGCTGCGGGACCTTGATTTCAAGCAGTGATATGCCGTAGATGGGGGGCTGACAGGAGCTGATAACATCTGATAAGATCCGATAAGGGGGTGTCACCAAATTCTTAGCGCAGGTTGCAGCAACCGTGGGACATTGATTTCGAGAAGTGGTGTAGGGGAAAGGGGGTGGACATGATTGGTGTGTGACAGAAGCTGATAACACCTGATAAGATTTGATAAGGGGACCTTAGACGCGGAGGGTCACCCAATTCCTAACATCGGCTGCAGTGAATTGAGACCGTGGTTCCGAGATGGTATACAGGAGGGACGGGGTGGGTGACAGAAATCTAATAACATATGATAAGATTTGATAAGGGACCTTAGATGCGGAGGGCCACCAAATTCGTAGGGCAGGTTGCAGGGTCTGTGG